CTCTCTCTCTCTCTCTCTCTCTCTCTCTCTCTCTCCATCACCAGGTTTGGCAGCTCCTCACCCACTCGCAGGGAGAAGAAGAAAAAGAGTGGGAAGAAGCACAAGCGAGGCAGGTGAGCATGCGAGAGGCTGTTGTCAATCATGTGTCATCAAAAGTAAGAAACCAAAACTTTTCAAAGATTTCTGCCAGAGACCTGACGATCAGAAAGATCAAAGTTAGCAATAATAAATTAAATTTATATAATCCTTCCTCCTCTCTCTTTATAAATAAATATATGTATTTAGTAGGGGAGCAACAACACATGCATCTGTATCAATACAGTGTTTTAGGTTCAATACGCACTATGTGTGGATCAATACAGATTTTTAAAATTAATTATATCAACTTATCTGAAGATGCTTTGTGTTAAAGCATCAGTGGATTTGTGTTTGACTACTCCACCTAGGCTGCATCGTTGAGCACAGATCCTCTGAGAAACTTGCTGTTTCAGAAACAATTAATTAAAAAACTGTACTTTTGAGGTCAAACAAATGTTCATAACTAATTTCAATAAATTACACGTTTTTATTACCTTTTCATGACTGGGTTAGCTGTAGGGTTGGGCTACAGGAAAGACTAGAAATGAATGGAAGTCAATGAACGGCCCTAATAAGGATAGTAATACAAACCTGTGTGTGAAGTGTGTTTAAAAATAGAGAAAGTAGAAAGAAAGGAAGAATAAAAAACAACATTAGGAAGGAAGTAAATAAAGAAGAGACTGAATAAAGTTTTAGGAAGATGAGAGGAAGCAGTAACGGATGACTTAAACTTCAAACAAAAAACAGGAGAAAACGTGAAAACTTCCGCGATTAAACATGAACATGAAAAGAACGAGCAAAGAAAATGAAGTTGAAACTGAGTAGGACGAGCGAGAAAGTCAATGAAGGGAGAAATGAAAAAAGGAAGTTAAAGAAGTCAAGAGGCTGGTGAAGAAAAATGGACTCAAACATCTGGAGAACAGAGGAAAACGACAAGGAAGAACTCATCAAGAAAACCCTGTCCGGTGCCTCGGGACATCACAGCCCCCACCCCACTCACCTTTATTTCATCTCTGACTCGAGGGGTGGAGGGCAAACTGTACTGCTCTAATAACCCAGCCTCTATGGGGGCACACSGCACAAGAAAAATGAGCCTTTCACCGAACTGCTGAGCTGCTCCCTCTGCTTCCCCACCTCCCATCCATCCCTGTCCCCCTCCCAGCCTTACACCAGGGATCCTCTGCAATGCAGGGATTGTTGATTTATGAATAATGAATTGGAAAAGCAGAGGGGGGTCCCCACCTCTTAGGTATTGTCTACTCTGAGAGGAGAGTCCTGTTCTGTCTGGTTGAAGTCGCTCCGGTCCCGCTCTGTGAGAACGATGGAGAAAGTTCCGCTAACCATAAACGCTTGAACTGAAGCAGCCCTGATTCGCTCTGAGCCTCATATGTTCCTCTGACAGCTTTATTACTCCGCTCTCAGCGAGTCGACACTCCTCACGCTCAGGCTGTAGGTGTTCCAAACAGCAGGGGGGACGTTCAGGAGAACAAGCGTCTCAAACACACCAGCCCCACTAATCACCATGGTAACTGCACTGAGGGTGAAAGTGATACGAAGGTGACGCGTCTCGATGTGGAGAGCTGCAGAATAGCCAGCCTACTCATTTTATAAGAGCCGACACTCGGCTGTGGCTTTTCTCCTGCTTTGTCGCAGAAAAAAAGGAAGAAAGAAAAAAGGATCTTTTTAGATAATCTGYAGAAAGGAACTGCAAGCTGCAACGTTTACAGAGACCTGCTGTGAGGAGAGAACTCCCCCGGGRACATCTCTGCAAACACAGACTCTTCTTCTTTGGTTTGGAAGGATGGTGCAAAAAGTGAATCATAAAACACGTCTTGGAATGAGTAGCAGGTCCAGACTGGCACTGGTTTGTGCTGAGATATGTCTGTGCATGAAAACGCTTATTTATCACCAATCAAACTGATTTAATTTGAGTAATTTTAGCAGAATGCTTCTCTTTCAGGCTCTAACATTTATCCAAAAAAAAAAAAAAAACAGTCTTCGAACTGATCACAGTAAGCAGGTCCCACTGGGTGCATAAAAGAAAGGGGGAAAGGGGTTGAGGTACAAGAGAGTCTGAAGTGCTTCCTGAAATAAGACGCAGCWACAAAAACCAGATCAGATTCACAGACAAAAAGATAAGCACCCAACRAGTTGAGAATAAAATAAAATGAAAGCTCATTTGATTGTTTTATAATGTTTCCAATGTCAGATCTAACAGAGTCTCATGCATCTTTGAGCTAATCAGTGGTGGGCACAGCAAACTAAAAAAACAGCTTTGCTAACACCAGTGGTGGGCAGCACTAATCTAAATATTAGTTGCACTAACCCTAAAGCACTAACTCAAATATTTAGGTCCCCTAATTCTAAAGCACTAATGCACTGAAAAATTTAGCAAAACCTAATTCTAAAGGACTAAAATAATCCAGTAATCCATGAAACATTCTTCAGAGTCAACATGGGACAATATTTACTGTGTGCAGAATGTTGTCACTTAATGCTCTTGCCGGGCCAAATTGGAGTAACCCTCAGGCCACATTCAGCCCGAGGGCCTTGAGTTTGACACACGTGACMTTGTAGATAATTGACACACATATGACAGCTTTCACCCTCAGCTGCGAACAATAATGTTGATCAATAAACTTTAAAGACCTCAGTTAGTGCTTCTAAATTTAACAAGCGCTAATCCACTAATGAATTTAAAAAATAGTAAAAGCCCTAAAGCACTAATCAGGAAATTAGTTCCCCTATTAGTGCTTTAGTGCTTTAGAGGAACTGTGCCCACCACTGGCTAACACTAAACTGCTAACATGTAAAAACAACTTTGRGGAAGCTAATGCTAAACAGCTAAAGAAGTAAAAATCAGCAGAAGCTAACACTAATCTCTAACCACTACGACTGTCACTCAGTCTGTGTCACGTGTCTTCGTCTCCTTGGAGCTGAAGACCGGAGCGACTGCCACAAACCTGTTCATGTTAGTTTGTTAGTGTAGACCTAAAGTTGGAAAAACCTGATTTAACTTTGAATTGAAATTTGAATCTGCTAAACAAAATATTTGTTCTGCTACTAGCTGTTAGCTGTTTAGCGAAACCGTGCCCCCCACTACAAGGCATCGTCTATGTGTCGGCTGCTCCTAACTCTCGGATTTTCCTGATAACCCTCTGGTGCCTGTTTAAAAAAAGTTATCTCCTTGTTAAATTAATCAATTACAATCTGATTGCTGGTCTGCGTGTGGACCAAATAAAAGAACTTGTTTTTGTTCTGAGTGTTAAATAAGTTAATTATATTTAGTTTTAATGATTTTTATATTTGCAGATCTGCCTCAGACTCCAGAAAAAAAAGAAGATACAGGTGTGTATCCCACAAAACAYTTCAGCACCCTGTCATCTTGTAGTCAGAGCGTATGTCTACACAATCTTTGAGTTTTGTTTTGTCGCCAGCATCGTTTCTGCCTGAGAATTCCCATTTGTTGAAACAACAGCGTCATCAAATGTTACATCGATCCTCCCTGCTTGTAATCTGCTCAGCTTCATTATCTTGCATCTGATTTTTGTTTCAGATCAGGGAGCCCAAAGAACAAACACAAAGACAAGAACAAACAGAAAAAGAGGTGAGACAGAAGGGGRATMTAATCTTTGAAAATGTGTTTTGATTTACAAAACACGAACAAAGCAGGACGCAAAAATACTGGGAACAGGGATTAAAGATGCATGAGAGAGTGGTGTTTTGGAGAAATGGCGTGATATTCACAAAGAAACGATGAATTTGTTGTTTTTAATGTCAACTTTGTGACGTGATCAGAACAAAACAATCACATGGTTCAGATTATTGCAGAGCAGCAGAGAAGCATGCTGTTGATTTTTTTAAATGCCATTTTAAACACACAGTGTTTGATGTGTTTGCACCACAGCCTCCATCCTCAACAACAGGAACAATTGGAGTCACGCTGCCATCCTCATACATTTATATTGTTACTTAGCATCTATTATCAAGGACTCAGAGAATGTGAGGGAATATAAAGTGTTTCCTCTAAACGTTTTCTGCTGCCTGTCTCCATTCAAACAAAATTAACTTGTTTGAAAAGTTTCATTTTTTATTTATTTCATGAGATAGAGTACTGAGCCGGCTGTGCTGTGTGTGTGTGTCCCCATGATGTCTGCTCGTGTGTGTGTGTGTGTGTGTGTGTG